GGGCTTGCAACCCCCACCCCGACCCCCACCATCCCTGGTGGCCAAAGGTACGAGTTGCCACCCCCTCCCACCTTGACAGCCACTGAGAGACAGATCAAATAACCACTGACAGATCAAATATTTGAGGGGGTGGGGGGGGGGGCTCCAGCAGACACCGCCGCTGCGCTGCCCACCGGGACGCCAGAGAGGGTGGAGCTGACATCGCCAAACGCGGCTGGACGCGAAGCCCTCCCCCGCTCCAGAGGGGCTCCTTGCGCCGAGAGCCAAGTGCCCCCCATTGCCCGCCACAAGCGCCAAGCTGCGTGTGTGTACGGGTGTGTTGAACCTCTTTCGCACCGTACGTCGGCTCCCAGCGTGCCGTGCTGGCTGCTCCAGAACAAGGCGCTCGGTGATCTGCGGCTGCCGCGTTGCGGCACTTTTCAAGTGGCAGCAGCTGCGTCGTGAGACGTAGCTGCCTATTCAGGACCAGAGGTCGCAAACGGGTTTTGATTCCTTACCCGTACCCGGCCGCACCAGGGTCGCAAACGGCTACCTGTACCCGGCCGGGTACAGGTAGCCGGGTATCGGGTAGGGTACGGGTATCCGGTTGCGACCTCTGTTCAGGACCCGCAGTCATCGCAGTCTTCGCATTGCGGCTCTTGAAATATGGAGGGGGTTGGGTTTTTGTTTTACCGAATTCGAAATAAGTATAACCCGTAAAAACAAAGTTTTTCACTATAAATATATGCGTGGCGGCTAGAGTCCTCTCATCCTTTGGCTTGAGATGGCTGCCACCTATGGGTCAGATGATTGTCTGCCAGTATTAAGCAATTGGTAATTAAATATTTAATTTGTTTTCCCTAAACAGTGTAAAATTTTGGAAAAATTTTTTCACGAACATTAATTGTCTCGCACAACGAGTCTGTGTGCGAAATGTCAGCTCGATTGGATCACGGGAAGTGGGTTAAAAAACGACCGAAAGATTTGCACGGTCGTAAGCAAGCAAGCAAGCACGCAAGCAAGCAAGCAAGCGAACTTAATATAAAGGATTTAAAAAAAAGATCGTCTCTCGTCGTGGTTGTTTAGGAGGCCGAACCTCGCTTCCCGACACTTGTGTCTGTGCGGGTACACCCGGGGTTGTCCACGTGGTTGTCCACGGGGTTGTGGGTAAGCAAAGACAACTACGCCACTTTCACGACTTTGGCATTTAGCTGCCAAATGCCACACACTTAACACTTCACTGTGAACCCGTGCCCTAATAAACACTGGCCGTTTCTGTGGAACCGCGTTTCGTGTTTAGTTTGTTGTCCTTCCCCCCGCACAGCACGCTTGGCTACGTACGGTGCGAAAGAAGTTCAACACGCGCGTACACACACGCAGCCTGGCGCTTGTGGTGGGCAATTGGGGGGAGGGATGGAGGCGGGGACTGGAGGTGGGGGGGGGGGGGCTGGAGGTGGGGGGGGGGGGCTGGAGGTGGGGGGGCTGGGGGCTGGAGGTGGGGGCTGGAGGTGGGGGCTGGAGGTGGGGGGGGGGGGCTGGAGGTGGGGGCTGGAGGTGGGGGGGCTGGGGGCTGGAGGTGGGGGGGCTGGGGGCTGGAGGTGGGGGGGGGGGGGCTGGAGGTGGGGGGGCTGGGGGCTGGAGGTGGGGGCTGGAGGTGGGGGCTGGAGGTGGGGGGGGGGGGGCTGGAGGTGGGGGCTGGAGGTGGGGGGGGGGCTGGAGGTGGGGCTGGAGGTGGGGGCTGGAGGTGGGGGGGGCTGGAGGTGGGGGGGGGGCTGGAGGTGGGGGGCTGGAGGTGGGGGCTGGAGGTGGGGGGGGGGGGCTGGAGGTGGGGGCTGGAGGTGGGGGCTGGAGGTGGGGGGGGGGGCTGGAGGTGGGGGCTGGAGGTGGGGGCTGGAGGTGGGGGGGGGGGCTGGAGGTGGGGGCTGGAGGTGGGGCTGGGGGCTGGAGGTGGGGGCTGGAGGTGGGGGGGGCTGGGGGCTGGAGGTGGGGGCTGGAGGTGGGGGCTGGAGGTGGGGGGGGGGGCTGGAGGTGGGGGCTGGAGGTGGGGGCTGGAGGTGGGGGCTGGAGGTGGGGCTGGAGGTGGGGGCTGGAGGTGGGGGCTGGAGGTGGGGGGGGGGGGCTGGAGGTGGGGGCTGGAGGTGGGGGCTGGAGGTGGGGGGCTGGAGGTGGGGGCTGGAGGTGGGGGCTGGAGGTGGGGCTGGAGGTGGGGGCTGGAGGTGGGGGCTGGAGGTGGGGGGGGGGGGGCTGGAGGTGGGGGCTGGAGGTGGGGGGGCTGGGGGCTGGAGGTGGGGGGGGGGTGGGGGATGGAGGTGGGGGCTGGAGGTGGGGGGGCTGGGGGCTGGAGGTGGGGGGGGGGGGTGGGGGATGGAGGTGGGGGCTGGAGGTGGGGGGGCTGGGGGCTGGAGGTGGGGGCTGGAGGTGGGGGGGCTGGAGGTGGGTGGGTGCACTGCATGACACAGGTTGTCAAACCCTGCTCTGTTTTTATTTTTATCCTGAAGCAAAATCCCATTAAATTCAAGTTTATAAAAGTGATCATTCACACGCTCACTTCACGTCCCGGGGGGGATCTGCAGAGTCCGCGTGGCGAGGGACGGGGGCACAGCCCGCCGGGCTCTTGCTGCCTCGCTGAGGTCGAGCCCGGCGTTGCCGAGGCCCTCGGCTGACGATCACCGCCCCACGGCGGCGTCCTCCACTCATCGTCGGCGGCAGCGTCGGGCAGAGCCCAGCGGCATAGCAGGAGCAACTCTCTCCCGACTCGGCAACTCGGCGAGTGGAGACTAGTCCGGTGCTTGCCCGCAGCTGGGAAATGTTGGGTCTAGCCCAGTGTTCATACTCTTAGGTCTTTTCGGTCAAGTCACGTAGGTAAAAATAATAAATAATAAAAATAATAGAAGAAATAATAGAAATAAAATAATAAATCACGACGTTTCGGAGGCAACACAAGCTTCCGTCTTCAGGTGGAACCGTCACAGCACGATTGCTGTATCAAGTAATTTATTATTATTTTTACCTACGTGACTTTACCGAAAAAACCTAAGAGTATGAATCCTTGCAGTCACAAAAGCTTTAAATTTAGAATTAGCCCAGTGTTCTTCACTCATTTTCAGACGTGGGGGGGGGGGGGGGGGGAGCGCTCGCACTTTCCCCGATAAGACATCATCGGCGTGAGGGCCGCCACGCAAATTGAAACCACTGCGGGTTTGGCGGCAGCACGATGATGATGATGACGGGGGGTGTTGTCACGTGCTGTGTATTTGTCGGTGCCGCACTAAAGGCCGCCAGGGGCCACCGTGAGGCCCGCGGGCCTTGCAATGAAGAACACTGGCCCACAGGCAAGGAGGGGAGGGGGGGGTGCCAACAGCCTCGCGATCTCTGTGGTGGTGGTGGTGGTGGTGATGATGATGATGATGCTGTGACCGCGGAGTTGACGCAGGCGAGGCACTCACGAGGCGGCGTCACATCGGGGCCCGATTCCTCACTCGTCCAGCTCACTGCGAAATCCCCGAGTTGCGCGCGCACGGGTTCACACCGCGGCCGAGTTGAACGCGAAGGAAATGAAAGTCGCGCGTGTAAAACACAAATTAGCCAGATTTTTCGCTTGCAGCCAAAAGCTCGCCTGTAAAAAATGTTCGTAATAAAAGTCACGCTTCGTTTTACCAACAGTCCACTTTACAAGAGCTCTAACTCCATGTAAAATGCGCCAATTCCGTTTTTGGTTACATACAATTGAAAATGTGCAGGCTGCGCCGTGGGTACAGATGCATTTCATAGCACGGGGCGCGCACGCAATTAATAACGACGAACGCGACCACTGAAGCCTCGGTATTTCCCAAGAAAAAAGCCTCATGGAGTCTCAAGACCGCTTTCAGGAGGGTCCTGCATTGGGATGCTCGGCCAAGACCATGCATGAGCGCTTGGCTTCACGTGGGAAAAATCCACGGAACGCCCTCACATGCGAGATGTTAACTACCTTGCCTGGTATGCAAGAGGTCCTGGGTTCAATCCCGACCCTGACGCCTGTTGTACATTTGGAGTTTGCGTGTCTCTATCACAGTGGTAGCATGGATTTTTCTCCGGGTCCTCGGGTTTTCCCTCCACATTAGCAACATGCGTTTAAGAGTATTTGGCTGCTATAAACATCCACATGATACGCCACTACATTGAACAATCATGTGTGTGGCCAGCTCGCTTCTGAAAAATATCTCGAAATCTCAGTGGACCTTACCTGGTAAGATAAAAACAATTAGTAAAATAGTAACAATACTCAGAAGGGAACAACACTCAAAAGTCCTGCGGATTTATCCACGGACCCAACAGAGTAACATCCGCGATGCGGACTGAGCCCACTGCTGTGCCAGCAGCCACCACCAGCCACCACCACCAGCAGCCGCCACCAGCAGCCACCACCAGCCACCACCGATTTCCTGCCACTCAAATGAGCAGCAAAGCGTGTGCATGTTTACAGCCCTGAGCCAGTGGTGCGAATTCCACATTCATATGGCGGGTTGTGAGTCTCGCTCTCTCTCTAGAGGATAATCGCGGTTGACTTCCCCACCAAGTGGTACTCATTTTATTAAACCCAGAGAAATGATGGGCCGAGCCAACTACCCCCCCCCCCCCGCCCAACAACCAGGCTTTGAACTCGCAGCTTTGCGACTGCGAGGCGCTCCCTCCCCTGCCGAGCCGTCTGGCCGGGTTCTCTATAAAAGTGCATTAACAAGCGACATGGTCCAGTCTGCTTCTTCGTACGGTTGATGATGTCGCTGCAGAGACAACTGCGATTTCACATTCAGGTGGTCAAGCCAGATAACCGCGCCAGGAGCAAGCGGAGTGTATCGCCACGAGGTCTTCTCTGTATTTGTGGATGGGCATTGCATTGTTATATATGTTGCATGTTCCAGTTAATTTGTTTGACAGGGTGATAATTCAAGACCATGATGATGGTGTTTACGGATGCCTAGTCGCCAAGGCATCCGTAAACACACAGACACACACGCACAGAAGGGAAACGCAGACCAGGGAAAGACGAGAGCTCACCAAGGGCGGACTTTCACCTTTATAGAAATTTACCAGAATCCTACAGCAACACAGACGCGGCCTTAACACATTCAACCAGACACAGAAGCAGCCTTAACGCATCGAACCGGCTTACGTCCAACGTCTCGCGACACGGAGAGAGGGGGGGGAGCACGAGAGAGTCACCAATCCTCACCCGGCACTCACAAGGAGGTCCATTCACTTGGCGTCACGGGCCGAGACACCTCCACGGATCGTCACCCGCCGTCCCAAGCACCGGCACCACCACGCCCCGTGCCACCTGGAGAGAAGCCCTTCAGCCCAGCGGTGTCTATGGGCCCTTGACCGGTCACCGGTGACCGTCTTCACGACCGATGAAATTACGTTGAAAGTCAGGAAGCGGTACCCGATGGCGGTGGAGCGTCAGTGATGAATGCACCGAGTTAAACAACGACTGTTGTTTCAACCGCCACGCTGCCGGCAGATGGAATCAAGCTGGCGACCTGTGCATCGCAAATCGAGCAGCGCGCCGACCATTGCACCGCCGCTGTCTCGGCTAAAAACGTAAACACGTTGCGTTTACCGCGAGGCATTTTATGTACGCGCCGGCTACCCCTACCCGGTTGTTTGCACGCGGTTACCGGTTTTTATTTAGCCCAACTCCACGGTCGATTAAGACACGGCCAAGTTTGTTTCCGTCTCCAGTTCAATGTTTAATGACTTGCGGTGTTTAATGACTTGCGGTGTGCAGCAGGGGCACGTGCACATCAGCAGGGGACAACACAACGACGCCGGTGACGAGCGTTGAAGAGGAGGCCATCCTCCCTGTGCGGCGGAAGCGTGCGCAGGTCGCGGCGAGAGAACATCACGGCGCGCCCAGCGAGACGCAGATCGTCCGCCCCGCGGTTTTGGTGTAGAAAACCTCGCACGGCTCCCAGGGGAGGCGGTTCTCGTTCAAAGTGTGATACACAAGTGACATCACATTTACCCTTCCCCCCCCACCCACATCTCTATTCAAGACCAAAACATGATTTCTCCACAATTCTGGCTGTCGCCTGATGATGCTGGTTGTTGTTACCGGCGAAATGTCACGATATTCGAATTGTAAATGTTGTGGGTTTACTCTCCAACACACAACCGGTGTGCTGAACTAGTAACCAAATGGCACGTTCTGTTTACGTGACAAACCTCACTAATTGGCTGTGTCAGGTGGTTGCGGGTTTAACGACCCATTCATATTTAAGCAAAAAAAAACCTCCATTATGGAAAATGTGTCATGTTTCCCCAACGATGCCACGCAAAATATAGATATTCCAATTTGACAAGTTTGACAGATATGTAGCAACAACAGATATGTAACAACAGATGCACCAGGAATTTGTCGCAATGTGTTTTCCTTACTAAGAGGCCATGGTTTTGTATATGAAAGCAAAGGTTTAGACTGTGTCCCTATAATGCGTTTTCGTTTCGTTTGTTGTCCTTCCCCCCCCACCGTACCTCTGATTAGCATAGTTGGCTACGTACGGTGTGGAAGAAGTTCACGCATATCACACACATACGTTCCCCGTCAGTTTACACGTTGGTGCAAGTCACCCGACATCTGTTTCACGTTTCTGTAGCTCAATTGTCATTGTCCTGTGATCAGTCTTAAAAACAATCTGCCCGAGCCGACTTCCACTGCTGGGAATAATTTGGATTTCTCACGTGATGCCGTTTTCGCTCCGATTCCAATTTGCTTCATCGCTGTACTTGACGCGAGTTGTTTCGCTTTCGTCGCCGTGGTGACGACGAGACTCATCCTGGTTCTCCCAAGTTCTCACAGGGCACAACAAAAATCACCCCCCGTGGTTGACTTGAGTTCGGCGGATCGCAGCATTGCCACCATCATGATCATCATTTAATCCACCCGCACGCATCACCCGAGGCAGGAGAACCCAAGGCGGGTCTTCGGTAACTCTTCAAACCGGAGCGGCGAGGGGCCCGCGGCCCTCCGTGACAAAAGACGCCGCGCGGAAACGAGAACGGGGAAACGCGGCGGCGGTCACGAGAAGCCAGCGGCCGCAGAGGCGTGTGTGCTGAATGGGCTGCGCGAGCGAGCGAGCGACCGGCATTCGTTTACAAGTTGGCCACACATGACGCTGGACCGCTGCCAGCCGCATGCCGGCGGGCTTGGGAAACGCTCCCGGCCCCCGCGCGTCCCGATGGCGAGCATTCTCCTAGTCGTGGGGCTGTGCATGACAGAACAAAGATTGCTCTGGTAACACACTACCCCTTTGTCTGGGCTGCTAATTTAGAAAAAACGCACGCACGCACCTGAAGTATGTTCTTAAATAAAATGCCTACAGTGTAGAGAGAACGCAGCTTCCTGGCAAGCTGCGTTATGTCGTCTTGCCCAGGTCGATCTTCTTCTGAATGGCTCTCGCCGAGTGGTAAATCATGGAGTCGATCAGCCCGGCCACTGCAAATGTAAAGAGATAGCACCGTGAGGAATCACGTTTAACATGTTTGAGATACACATTGCACTTGCGCAGCTGTACCAAATTGTGCGCGTGGATTATTAAGGTGGTTAAGATGTAAATCACCTTCAATCCACTGCTGGATGAATGCCCCATCCCCCTCCACACCACTGCCACGCATCATCGGCCTGCGCCGCCAAATCCGTCTCGCTGCTGCACACGCACCCGTCTCACTGCTCCAGATCCACTTCTAAAATCCCCATCCGGAGCCACCGACGCCACATTTGCGGTGTCGTGTCAGGCAGGGGGCTCGGCGGCCCTGGAGCCACGTGCGGCTCTTCAAGGGCTGGCTTCGTGACGTTATTTATTAAGCGCCGTCTTGTATTCACCACACCGCATTGCGGCTCTTTGAAATACTTTTTTTTGTACCGAATCCATTAACAACAAAAAGGCCCTACTTGTTATTTTTTTTGCCGACCCCTGGCGTAAGGGAACCTGAGTTTGTGGACCCTGAAAATGCCTTGGAGTATTTACCCAGAAAAGCCTCATTGCATCTTTAAAACTCATTATTATCCGGGAGGGACAATTCCTTGGGCAGATCAACGCAAAGTTAAATTCCGAGCGACGTCGCCAGGAGACTTGCAGAGCTCCCAGTCGGCGGCACAAACCTGGAGTAACCCTAGGCTCACATGCGGCCTGGCTCTCCCGGCATTACGTTTCAAGATACCAAGTCACTCCCGTGCTCCAGCAGCTCCCAGACGGAGATGAGCTAACAACAACAACAACGGACGATGACCAACGTTTGTCGCCCGGCCAGCAAACTGTCTGCGGCATCACCGGTGCCGTCCGCTCCACAGGTTTGCAGCGGAAGATTCTTCATGCCAGGGGAAACACGAACGCCTCGGAGGCTGTGCCACCTGCGTGGTTTACACAAGGTCCTGCTTTATAAGACGAGTAACGTGAACAAGTGGAAATTAAACCTTTGTGACATTACCGACAGGTATAGCGTGTTGTAATTGGCTGGGGGTGGGTGGGGGCGGCTGCTGTGAGGAGGGAAGCTGAATAGACATCAGTGTGGGGAGGCTGCCACCTGTGCCCCACCACGTGTTTGTGTTTCCGATGATTCGTTTTCACACGGTCGGTGGAAACCAGAGTCGAGCCAGGCTGGGCCAAGGCGCTGCCAAAGGCTCCACAACGACGCGGACTCATGGGACCGGCCCCTCTGCGCTGTTCCCCCCTTCCTCTCCTGCTGCCATGGTAGGGGCGCGACGACGGTGGCTAGGAGATGTTAACTACCTCGCCTGGTGTGTAGGAGGTCCTGGGTTTGATCCCGACCCTGACGCCTGCTGCTGTATAGTTGGAGTTTGCTTGTCTCTCTCCCCGGGTCCTCCAATCTTTCCCTCCACATTCAGAAACGTGCATTTTGAGTGTTTGGCTGCTTTATATTTCCACGTGATAGGGCACTTCGTTGAGCTATTATTTCTGGCCAGATAGCTTCTTAAAAAGAGCTATATAGCTCAGTAAGCCTTAACCGGTAAAATTAATAAATACATTTTTAGTTTAGTAACTTACTGATCGGCCCCTACTGGACATCTGTGACAAAGAGCTTCATAGCTCATCGGATTCCTCCCGCAGTCTAAGTAAAGATTCTGACAAGTGTTGTCCATGGCCCACGTGCATGGTAAAGCCCACTCTCTCGGTCCTGCGGTCCCCTGCCGAGGTCCGACGAGACGCGGCTCACTCGGGGAGAACGGTCGCAGGAGCGAGCGAGGCTCTGCCGCCGCGCTCGCTCGCAATGCTCACCCCGTGGACCCCGGTGCTGCAACTTGTCCCTTGGCTCAGGGCGCCCATTGAACCCATTGAACCCACTGCACCCACATCACCCATTGCACCCATGGCACCCACATCCATCACCCATTGCACCCATTGCTCCCATTGCACCCACAGCACCCATTGCACCTATTGCACCCACAGCTCCCATTGCACCCACATCACCCACATCACCCATTGCTCCCATTGTACCCACATCACCCACATCACCCATTGCTCCCATTGCACCCACATCACCCACATCACCCACATCACCCACATCACCAATTGCACCCATTGTACCCACATCACCCACATCACCCACATCACCCATTGTACCCACATCACCCACATCACCCACAGCACCCACATCACCCATTGTACCCACATCACCCACATCACCCACATCACCCACATCACCCACATCACCCACAGCACCCACATCACCCATTGTACCCACATCACCCACATCACCCACATCACCCACATCACCCATTGTACCCACATCACCCACATCACCCACATCACCCACAGCACCCATTGTACCCACATCACCCACATCACCCACATCACCCACATCACCCATTGTACCCACATCACCCACATCACCCACATCACCCACATCACCCACAGCACCCACAGCACCCACATCACCCACATCACCCACTGCACCCATTGTACCCACATCACCCACATCACCCACATCACCCATTGCACCCACATCACCCACAGCACCCACATCACCCACATCACCCACATCACCCACATCACCCATTGCACCCATTGCACCCACATCATCCACATCACCCACATCACCCACATCACCCACATCACCCACTGCACCCATTGTACCCACATCACCCACAGCACCCACATCACCCACATCACCCACATCACCCACTGCACCCATTGCACCCATTGTACCCACATCACCCACATCACCCACATCACCCATTGTACCCACATCACCCACATCACCCACATCACCCATTGCACCCACATCACCCATTGCACCCACATCACCCACATCACCCACATCACCCACAGCACCCACATCACCCATTGTACCCACATCACCCACATCACCCACTGCACCCACATCACCCACATCACCCATTGCACCCACATCACCCACATCACCCACATCACCCACATCACCCATTGCACCTATTGCACCCACATCACCCACATCACCCACATCACCCACAGCACCCACATCACCCATTGCACCTATTGCACCCACATCACCCACATCACCCATTGCACCTATTGCACCCACATCACCCACATCACCCACAGCACCCACATCACCCACATCACCCACATCACCCACATCACCCACATCACCCACAGCACCCACATCACCCACTGCTCCCATTGCTCCCGTTGCGCCCCGAGCCCCGGCGCGAAGCCGTCACTTCACTCTCGCGTCAAAGTCGTCGACCAAGCGACCCCGGCGTGTCGCGTCCCCCTCCCCTCCTCTCGAGAAACCCGTTAAATGGGCGGGCATTGAAGGCTTTCTTGTGCACCGATGCTCCTCGAGCGCTGACGAATCATAATTGTACGGCGCTGCCGTGACCTTCTCGGCATACAACTTGCTCTGCAATATGTAACTGTCACTGGGGAATGCCGCCGTGAGAAGGTGCTATAATATCGCCGCGCGGTATTGCTTTGCCTGCAGGCTGAAACATACGACTCGAAACGTTGAGTGCTGGGCGGCTTTCACTCACGGCTCCTCCCTCCAAGAGCTGCGCTTCCATCTGCATGGCCCTCTCAGAGAGGACCTCGCTGGCATTGCAGTCATTTCCCAGTTATCCGTAGCCGAGGTGTTTTGGGTTAGATCCCGTGAGTGTAAACGTGTCGTTAAACCCGCCACCACCCGACACAGCCAATTAGTAGGGTCTGTCACGTGAACAGAACGTGCAGATTCGTTACGAGTTCGGCACTAACCGGTTGTGTGTCGGAGAGGAAACCCACAACATATACAATTCGAGCACGACGATTTGCCAGTAATTACAACCAGCATCCTCAGGCGGACAGCCAGATGTGTGGAGAAATCCTCCACGTGTCAGTTGTACTCACAGGATGGAACACACATGTACACAGTGTTTATGGTACTCAGCACGTGGGTCTTGTCACACGGAGGAAAAAAGTACTAATCATAATAATCATGAATAGTATTGGGCTTTCGCGACCGATATTAACCAATTTTGGCTGTCACCTGATGATGCTGGTTGTAATTACCAGCGAAACGTCGTGGTACTCAAGTTGTAAATGTTGTGAGTTTACACTCCAACACACCGGTGTGCTGAACTAGTAACCAATTGGCATGTTTTGTTTATGTGACAAATCTTACTAATTGGCTGTGTCGGGTGGTGGCGGATTTAATCACGCATTTATATTTACACGATGTACCAAAAAAACCTTCTATGATGGAAACTATTTAAGAATCAATTATTTCCACGTGAAAGCCTCCCTCAATCTCAAGACTATTTTTCTCAGGAAGGTCCTGCATTTGGACATGTGGCCAGTACCATTCATGAGTGTTTGACATTCGAGAGAAAACTGAAAGTACCTGGCGAGAACTCACCATGCATATGGGGGGGAATAACACTCAAAGTTCCGCACAGATGGATTCAATCCATACACAGACGCATCACAATCATAGCGGACCTCCAATGAGGTGGCTCAGCTGTGACAGGAGGTGAACAAATTGCACAGGGGATGGATGGGAGAACGGGGCTACAGGCAGAGGGCAACTCCACGCCAGTGACCTCCGCCTCCGACCATCGGACCCTCAACTCGGACCGTCAGCAGGCGACTGGGATTGGCATATGGGTTCAGTCAATCGGGTGCAGTCGCAGACCAGGCTCAGCAATTGCGCCGTGTGTGCCGCACACACGCGTCCGCTCTCGTGGCGTGTCAACACGTACGCCGAAAGCCGGCCACAGACGTCGCTCCTCCCATGCCTGTGGTTACCGCACAAAACAACTCTTCTTTTCTTAGCGACCAGCGATGTGGAGTACGGGAGAAATGCACGGGGGGGGGGGGGGGGGGGGGGAGGGGTGATGCATAAGCGTTCTTTTTTGCAGGACCCTCTCATATGGTGAGCGCAGGTGGGAACTTGTTGACTGTTGACGGGGCCTGAGAAGCGTTGCTAAGTCTGTGTGCGTGGGTACGCTGGCATACAGAATGAGCTTCGAGTCCTTGACCAAGCAAGATCCAGGGGCAGAGCCTGCCTGACAAGCCCGTTCTCCCCGTGGTCGCGTGGATTTTTCTCCAGGTCCTTCGGTTTTCCCCACAACATCACGCGTTCAGATTATTTTGGTAGCTATAAATGTCCACATGATAAGCCACCTAGTTGAGCCATCATTCGTGATAGCCAGGTCGCTTCTGAGAAAAAAGCGAATAGCTCTGGGTCCTACCTGGTAAAATATAAAAAATTTGAGTGATTTGCTAACCTTGCCTACACTTTGCACGCCTCTCGCGTGTTTGTATCGTTTATTGTTGTAACTTTCTGACCCACCCCAATTGGACATCTGTGACAAAGAGCTTGACAGCTCTTTGAATTCCTCCTGCAATCTAAATAAACATTCTGATTCTAATAGGCCAACAGAGCCGGGCTGCTGTTTCCAAGCAGCATTTGTTTAAACAGGCAAACTCTGGACCAGTTTCAACCTTTTGGCTCTCATCAGCAGTCAGATTTGTTATCGTGGCAGATGTGTTTGAAGTTTTTTTTTTTGCCAAGCCCATGAGGGCCAATGAAATACAGTCGAAAGCAGTTTGCCCGCTTAGATAAATGCTGCTGTGAAACATTTGTCTGGGAGGGCCATAGCCTGATGAACCAAAAAAACCATGCATTTTTTTAGCAGGCAATTTGTATTTATTTATAGGTTACATCGTTTTTTCCAGGACCGATGTTCAAAAGTAAAAAGACTGCGTTAGCAACGCTTACAACAAATCTATTCTCGGCCATGATGGCAGCCACATGTTCGGGAGCCAAATGCCAATGTCGAGATCTGCTGGCGCCGGAGCGGGCTTCAGGAGAGAGAGAGAGTTTTGCTGTTCCTCCTCCTCCTCCACACTCAAGGAGCGCAGACCACGGCGGTTTACGATACGGTCACCGCGCGGGCGGGGGACGAGATGAGAAAGAGCGACGAACTTACAAAGTGGAGGTGAGGCTGCTTGTGCACGACTTGGCTCATCGCTCTCCGTCAGTGTTTTAATAAAAGCCCCGCGCCGCGCCCCGGCAGACCATTCACAGCTCAACGGGGAGAAGAATTACAACAAATTTGCCGAAAATTTCTGACAGCCCGATTTAATTCCCTTCGCATGTGACTCGATATTACAATTCGTTTCTTGGCATTCGATCCGTGAATGTGAAATACCACTCAGAAAATTAATGGCATTCCAGAGTTTGAAAAAAAGTAATATAATATCCGTAGAAGAGACCCCTAGATTTGCCAAAAACGTTTAAATCAAATGTCTTGATCACCTAAAAGCCCCTGCACTGTAATGAGAAAGCAGTACTAAGTCACCACTGCCTACGCAAACACTCGTGCTGTGCTGGCTGTTATAAATGGGCTGCCAAAGAACTTTGCAGCCGGTATACAGACTCCCTTGTTTATGACGCCATATCATTAATTGAAAAATAAAACAATGCCTTCCATGTAACTGCGTGCAGGTGCTCATTCCAGAGTTACAGCTCTTGCAACCCGAGACGCTTCTCAAAAAAAAAACGTTCCGGCAGTTTTCGTAGAAAGTTGACGTCTCGTCCGTTTTCAACCGAGTTTACACCGTGAACTGGATTCACGGCTGGGAGAAAACCGAGCGCAAATGCAATTTGATCGGTGTTTCTGCCAAATGACTCAATTGCGATCACACGCAGCAGCAGCAGCAGCAGTCGTCACCCCCCTTGCTGGCACGGTTGGCGATGTACGGTGCGAACCAAGTTCAACATACCCAACATTGACAACATTGGCAACGTATTGTCACTGTTGTGGGTTTACTCTCCCAACACAACGGTGTGCTCAAGTAGAAACTAATTTACACGTTTTATTCACGTGACAAACCTGTTTCGGGTAGTGGCGGGTTTAACGACACATTTATATTTAAGCGTTTTAACACAAAAAAAAACCTCAATCACCCAAACACATAACAAATACCCTCCCCCATCCTACCAGGCAAATCCCACCGAGGTATTCACTTATTTTTCAGAAGCGACCTGGCCACAAATGAGAGCTCATACTCTTAGGTTTTTTCGGTAAAGTCACGTAGGTAAAAATAAATAACAGAAATAATAATAGAAATAAAATAATAAATCACGACGTTTCGGGCGCAACACAAGCGTCCGTCATCAGGTGGGACAACCACAGCAAGAAACAATTGCTGAAGTGGGCAAAAGAGCTGCTGTAACAAGAGGCTATATAGGTAAGAGACGGGGGAGGAGCCAGGGAGGAGAGACGGAGAGTTGTGGGTCCACGACGTTTCGCGTCGAGCGATCAACGTCGCGCCGCGTTACTTCCCGCGGCCGCGTTACTTCCCGCGGCCGCGTTACTTCCCGCGGCCGCGTTACTTCCCGCGGCCGCGTTACTTCCCGCGGCCGCGTTACTTCCCGCGGCCGCGTTACTTCCCGCGGCCGCGTTACTTCCCGCGGCCGCGTTACTTCCCGCGGCCGCGTTACTTCCCGCGGCCGCGTTACTTCCCGCGGCCGCGTTACTTCCCGCGGCCGCGTTACTTCCCGCGGCCGCGTTACTTCCCGCGGCCGCGTTACTTCCCGCGGCCGCGTTACTTCCCGCGGCCGCGTTACTTCCCGCGGCCGCGTTACTTCCCGCGACCGCGTTACTTCGAGCGACCGCGTTACTTTCTGCGACCGCGTTACTTCGAGCGACCGGGCCCTTCCCCTTTTTGGGAGCGACGACGCTTGGGGCCTACAGCGAGCTCGGTCCGGGGGGAGGGGGGAGGAGAACGGAAACGCAGGAAACGGCCGCAGGTGGCAGCCGCTGGGTGCCAATGCGGAGGTGCGCCATTCCCTCAGCGGCAGCGCAAAAAACCATAAACATCCGCTCGACGTGCTCTGCCAAGTATGTGCCGGCCATTTAACAACAACAAAAAAACAACTCAATCAGCAGGCCGAGTTATGCTACGAAGCATGAGCCACGCGGGGTGCGCTGGCGGGGAGCGGGGGGTTGAGGGGAGCGGGGGGGGGGGGCTGGCGGGGGGTTGAGGGGAGAGGGGGGGGGCTGGCAGGGGGCGGGGGGTTGAGGGGAGCGGGGGGGCTGGCGGGGGGTTGAGGGGAGAGGGGGGGGGCTGGCGGGGGGGCGGGGGGTTGAGGGGAGCGTGGGGGCTGGCGGGGGGTTGAGGGGAGAGGGGGGAGAGGGGGGCTGTGGGCCGCGCTGCTCACCTGTGAAGACGCCGCCGATGATGGCGCACACGCCAGTGAGGAAGTGGGTGAACGACCTGCAGGGGTCACAGCGGCCGACAAGCGCACGTCAGGAGAGCACCGGAGGGAAACGCAGGGGACGAGGGCTCGGCCACGTAAGCGGGCATGCAAAAAAAAACATTTTTTTTATAATTATACTAATAAAATAAATAATAAAACCTATTAAAAAATTTTGTTGAATTAAAACAAATAGGCCACAGATGCGGGAGCTTGGCGCGCTGCGTTACTACCTCTGCTTCTCGGTGAAGCGCACCATCATGGGCGACAGCTCGTAGGAGACGAACACACCGGGGAGGCCCTGGTCGCCCGCCAGCCCGTTGGCCACCTTCTCGTGCTTGGTCACCGAGAACTGGTTCGTGCGCAGCGCCTGCGGGGGTGGGGTGGGCGCACGCGCACCGCCGGTGAGCTGACCGCAAACCCCAACAGCAGCAGCCTCCGACGTTCCACCTACCGGTGGTCGTCCCCCACTGCCCACGTGCCCCGACGCTTGCCTTACCGCTCCACATGTGCCATTGGCACACACGATCATCATCGTCGTCGTCACCATAATCTTTGGGTCCATACGGCGTTGCTTTCATTCCTCGGCAACTCAAAGTGCCTTATAGCACGTCTCAACTCCCATATTCAAAGGGCACCCTCTTTGGCAGCTGTCTCTGCGTGGCACAAGGCGACTCATCGCTTCGGCCATCGAGCCACGAGCGCGCGCACAAAGTAATCGCGGCTGTGACACCCGCAATGCCGCCCCCCCCCCCCCATCTTGACAGATCTTGGAAGCTGAGCAGGAATGATGGAGCCTGCTAAGCACTTTTATGGGTGTCCACAGGTGGGTCACAGGCGTTATAGGAGGACTTCTGAAAGGGCTGCCAAGTGCCAGTATAAGGCATTACAGGTGGAGTCCGACCCGCTTCCGTGAATTTGAGTCGACCTGCGTGGAAATTTGAGTCCTGTGCCCTCGTACGTGTGCGGTTCCCCACACAACACGCAGACACGGATCGGGTCAAACATCCCAACTCAAGAAAGATACTTTAATTAGGAATGCCCAGAAATAATTTGCACTGCTAAAGGTACGATTTACATTTGATTTACAAAAACACGAAACTAAACGAGTGGCCATGGAGCCGCCGGTAACGCAAGCGCGCGCAGTACCTCTCCGTTCAGCTTCACGTAGACCGTTGGCACGATTTTAACAAAGTACTGGAACATCATGAAATCTGCAACGGACAGGAGAAATCGGGGCAAACTTGAATCAAAGCAGACCCACGGGTACGTTTTGGACCGCGCGTCACCCTGAGCGCAAGGCTATCACAGGAAGGCGCTGCTGTGTTCCACGGACACAGCCTGCAGTTGTTTGACAGCGCCGGGTGGCGTCTCTGCGTGTAAATTCACGACCCTGGCACATAATGGCCCCGCTCTTTTAGAACAACGTAGGGCATCTTCAGCGTTCGCTTTGAAGCCGATGGCGTGCGGTGGTATTTAACGGTTAATAACACCGGCGGCGATAATAACCGGCGCTCCCTGCCAAATCAGAAACGTGAACTTCGAACGAGCGGCGGACGCGCGACGCCGCCGGCGTCTCGTGCGTCGTGCCGTGGGGTGGGGGGGGGGTGGTGAGGAGTCACGCGAGTGTCAATGTCGTCGCGGACACCCAGCTCCAGTTACCGAGCCGCCACCAGCACCACCTCCTCACCGCCCTCTGCCACACCGCCTCGCTCGTCCCAACAGCCCGCGCTGCCCGTGTCCGCCCTCATGCACGCGATGTCACACGGGAGCAGCGTGGGCCGCAGGGGCCACAGGTGACATCCTCACTCCCTCCCACATCCCAACCCCACCTCCGCCCTACATAGGGGGGTGTGCGCATGTGAGGGGGTGGCGAGGTGTTAACTACTTCGCCTGGTATGCAGGAGGTCGTGAGTTCAATCCCGACCCCGACGCCTGCTGCATATTTGGAGTTTGCATGTTCTCCCCGTGGTCGCGTGGATTTTTCTCCAGGTCCTCCAGTTTTCCCATCCACATTTAGCATCGCGCGTATGTAGAATCAGCATCACACGTATGTAGAATCAGCGCGATGCGAGTATTTGGCTGCAATAAATTTCCACACGATGATAAGTCACTTCGTGGCGCGATCATTTGTGAGAGCCAGGTCGCTTCTGAAAACGAGCTATACACAGCTCAGTGGGCCTTACCTGGTAAAATAAAAAATCTACATTTTGTAAGATTTGGTTTTCACACACACGCACACACACGCGTGTGACATGAGCGACGAGCCCAAGGCGTTTGGCACCTTCGTGGGAGACCGACTTGGTGCCGTCGAGCGGGTTCACGATGCCAGGGTAATCGCGGCCGAAGGACAGGTGGGCGATGTGGTGCGTCAAGTTGAACTGGGGAAACAAAAAGATAAAGGTACCCCGTGTGGCCTTAACAGACTGTTGGGGCAAGTGCTGTTAGCGAGCAGCAGCGCCTACGAAGGCCGGCACGGCACTCGAGGGGGTTGGGTAGCCAACGCCACGCCTGGACACCAGGTGCTCAATTGAGGCCGAGTCCACCAAAGGGAGGCCCCATGACTGGTTTAGAGAATCGTCACTGGTGTTGGCCTGTGAGCGGGAATCGAACTCGGGTGGCCGTGTTCGTAGCGCGACGCGCTAAACTGGAGAAACACTCGCACGCGCACACATATGGGGATGGGGTGAATTCGCCGTGATAACAACGATCGCTGCATGTGTATGTATGTGCGTTGAACTTGTCGCCCCGTACGTAGCCAACCGCGCTAATCGGAGGTCAAACGCCAGTGGAGAGCCATGGCCGTAGCCATCGATCGATTGAGGAACGTCATGCTCTGGGCTCACGATACGTGCGGAAAATCGCAGAGCGATGAGATCAGGTCATGTGCAGGTGCTATATGGGTTGTTTCATCGCGGGATGTTATTTATGGCTTTCATTGTGTTTTTTAAATAAATATGCATTTAAAAAAAGATTTTTGTGAGCTGTTATGCATTGAAACATTCGCAACTGGGACTGATTTTGGTTTAGTACTCTCTTCCATTGTAATAACCACTGGATTTCAGCCATTGCTTACGAGGCAATCTTGGATTACAGTAGGACTTGTGCGTAGCTTATCAATGTATGTTGAACTTCTTTCGCACCGTACGTAGCCAACCGTGCTAATCGGAGAGGCGGGGGAAGAACAAACTAAACACATCAATGGCGTGGTCGCGTTGACATGTTTAAATCCGTGAGAGAGCGCTTGACAAGAGGAGTTGCTCCCGAGAGCAATCAAGAGCTTCTGTCGGCCTCGGTTCTCTGCCACAACAACCACTTCTAGTTTCAACGGCCTCAATTTATACACCGCCCCGGCCAATCAGGAGCTTCCGAGCCTCCTTGGCCCGAGAAGGCAACATTGCTTCAGAGACGCGAGCACCGATCACCCCACAAATTGAAAATCCCAGGAATTCATAAAATAAACAAAATGCAGGGCAACTCCTCTTCTCCATAACTCCTATTATCCACGACTACTATTATCCGTGGCAACAGAATCCGCCGTGTCACCGCGGACAGGAGGCGTTTTTCTCCCGTACGCTGCAACATTGACAAGGCGAGCCTGCCTTGCTGCACCGGAGTTTATGTCGGGGGACACTGCGCTGCTCTACGCTGCCTCTCTCCGATGACACTTCCACCACAGCCGGCCTGCTGTCGCGGGAGCGCTCGGCGACAGATTAAATGAACAAATACGTTAAAAAGACGCAAGCGAACCGAGGACCAGGAAGCCCTGCGACAGGGCCTGCAACACGTGAAGCCGGCCCCGACGCCTGCGTTGCGTCCACAGTGCCAAAGCGCAGCAATCACCGGCTGCGGTAAACACAATCACACTCTTCCCCAAGCCGACGTGGCTCAAAGACATTTCTACGACCTTTTTTTCCGGGACACCGTCATCTAAAGCGCTGCGTTTATTTTCATTCCTCGAGGCTGACGGCGCGCACTCGCTGCTTCGCCGCTCGGGCCCCGTGCTCAGCTGAAAGCGAAGTCATAAATGAGCCTCGTAAACTGCTCATTTTTCCATCTACACTTGGACATATCAAGTTCTGTGTAAATCGCCCGTGCCACAGCGACGTCAAAACAAAGTCCGTTCTCCGCACGCCACCGCCACCATTGTCAGCGCGACCACCGCCACCACCGCCAGCAGGCCCGCGGGGATCAGAGCGGGGAGCCAGAACCTGCCTCCCCACGCACGACCCCCCCCCCCCCCCCGTGATCGGTGTTGAGAAACCGGATCCTCGGCACAGGACATGGCCAGGAAATAGTTCACCGCAATAAATGGCACGGGACTGATAAAACAAAATATCTCCTTACAGAGGCAGCGGCGGTGGTGGTGGCGGTGCGCGAGCGCGGAAAGACGCAGACGAGACTGGGACAGGGTTGGCCTGGAGCCCGCTGGGGGGGGCGGCACACTGATTGCGCCCGTCTGGGAGAATTACAAACAGCTGGACTGCGCCGAGAGGCTGAGATTAATAGGGCGCGAGTCGCGCTGATGAATGGGCCTTTTCTGGAAGAGGGTCTGCTGTCTGTGCTCTGCCGTGGCCATCACCCAAAAGATGAATTACTTTTCACCGGAGTAACACCCACAGGATTAAATAATGCCGGGTGACAGCAGTGAAGCCAGAACTCTCCAGTGCTATCAATTTCAGAATTTGAGTAAATTAACTTACCAAGCAGGAATGACTCGGTAATCGTGGTACGCATGGTGATCATATTTTGTAGAATATAAGCAAACCAATATCTTTGACAATTCCCATTTGGAGTGTTTTACCGGGGACAGCTATGTTTCACGACGGCTTAAGGACTCTTGTCAGAAAAACATCGAGACGGGAATGTTTGATCAAATCTCTTGTGCGAGGATTTGTGCGTGGTGTACAACTGGAGACCCCGGAGAAAGCCCTCGCATACTGTGCCAACCCAACCCGCCTGCCGTGGGATCAGTTAAAGGCGCGTGCATCGCTCCTTACACGGACATCACCGTACGTTTACACCGCATCTCGTCTCCGCCCTACAAATTTAATTTCACGTTGCATGGCAAGCGATGGACCAGACACAAATTTGTGATGTAAGCTGCAGGTATTTGCTAATTCAAGCAATAACTTCGAGTTTTTCGAGTCTAAGTGTTCCATGGGGAGGGGCTTCATAAGTGATGTTATTGCCTAATTACACACTTTAGATCCACGACGCTACATTTGCACATTCAAATTCCCGCAGGTACTCAGGTTCACGGTGGCCGCGCTGCAAGTGGCCGCCTGTAATCCAGCACTGCGGAGGCAGCAGCGAGGGTTGGCGGATCACCGCACACATTACTAAAATCCCTTCCTCCCGTGGGCGTCAAGCAGGCACCATACCCTGGCTCGCCAGGAAGTGGTGGTTCAGCAAAGTGCGGACTAATGTCAGCTGTCCATTCTGTAGGGCAGCACCTGTCAACGCCAGCACGGCACACAAGGGGATGGGTGGCCAGCACCACGTCCGGCTGCACAAGCTACTCGTTTAAGGCTGAGTCGACCTAGGCAAGGCTCAGGACCAGTGCAGATGTTCGTCACTGATGTTGGCCTTGAGCGAGAATCGAAGTCGGGCCGCCGGTTTCATTGCACAATGCTCTAAACCGCTGCACCACCGCTCCTCACTAATCAGTCTCACACACACTACCGCGCTCGTAGGCATGCGTGCGTGCGATGCGAGGCTCCTTGGTGCCTGATTGGTGGGCCCTAGGTAGGCAGTGAGGGATGGAAGTGGTGCTCGGCATATCACTGATGGAGCAAGAGTTGTTGAAAGTCTGAGGAGATGGCTGGCGGTGATGTCAGTGGGGATGCAGAGCGAGCGCGGCGAGGAGTCAGGGGGGGTGAGCAATCACCAGCGGCAAGCACTTCCCAATGTCTTCACCGATTGCCCGGCAATCGACAGGGCAATGGCAGCAGCTGTGAGCGAGCTCGCAGGACCCACGAGGGATTTTTGGGGTTTCCTCGCTCAGAGAACTAAATCGTCGTGAGCATCTTCTATTCAGATGATCTTTCCCGCGTACACGGTCTCTTGTCTGCTTGGAGAGAATCGACTTTGATCCTTGAAAGTGAAGAAGTGACTGAAGACGACAAAAAATGAATCGCGAAGTCGGCCAATCCAATTCAAGTGGAGTAACGGCAGTACATTCAGCCGGCCGTATCGACGACGTGAATTCAATTAATTGAGACTCGCAAATTTCACCAGTGAGCATGACTAATGAATTATCGGAATCCCACGCCTCCGTTGAGAGAGAGAGAGGGGGTGGGGTGGTGCTTGCCGACTGCCAAAGTTGCACTTACCTTGTCCATGCCAAATGGATTAAATTCATGCACTGTGGTACAACAAAAACACACGCACACAAGAGAGACGCAATCAATGCCGGTTCAGTTACAAACACATTAGCAGGCAAACAACGACCGGCATCAAGCCCACGAATACAACATTCTTCCCAGACTTACAGGAACGCGCGCTTTCACAACGACAGGCGGCGAAAAAATGTAACTTACGCACACTTTACACGACGGCTGAACTTCCATCCAGCCGCCCAATGGGGGAGAGAAGCAAAGCGACATTTGCATGCAAGAATTTTACAATAAACCTCCGCCCCCCCCCCCCCCCCAGCCGCGACAAGGACGCGGGCGAGGCTGCGGCTGGCACTCGCGACGCTAGCGACGCTAGCGACAGTCGCGAGCGCTTCAGGAGGCTACAGCGCCGGCCACGCTAACGTCAGCCGCCTGGTGAGGAGCATCGCGCGTCAGAATTTGATCGAATGCATCAGGGAGGTTCGAACCTGCCGGTTTCAGCGAAACGTCATAATACGTTGACGTTGAATTCGTCCGATCTAACTAAGGCTTTACCTTTCCATAGAGAGAGAGAGAGAGAGAAAAAAAAGCACCCGTCCTCCCGTGCTCACAACGTTATTGCTAAGAACTGCTCCGTATGAGTTCAGCACTGTGACCATTGGGGTCAGGAAATCAAGCAAACGCCAGACACGCTCAAATCATTCGCCCCAAGGTTGTGTGACAAGATGGAGAAATGACTGCAAAGTGACGCTTGGCCGATTTCCGGAGCAAAAATCGGCCTCTCGCTTTGGTCAAAGGTCGCCCCCCGTCCGACTTTGCAGTCCGCCCGGTGCAATTGGCCGTTCGCGTAAATTTAGTGCCGACTTCATTGCGCTCGCTCAGCAGAAAGTTATTTTTTTTATAACTGCAGCAATCACCGCGCGGATCTGTCTGGTCCCTGGGGCTCACGGCGCATGGCGGCAGCGATGACAAATGTAATAAAGTTGCGATGCGGCTTCAACGCAGACGACGACGACGACGAAGACCCCGAGGGGCCCGCGGCGGTTGGCCGCGCTCACGTGACCACAAGAAGCACAAGAAGAGTTCTCATCGATTTCCAAGCCGCAGACGCGTCCCTAGAAGCGGCTTTTAATGACTGGATTTAAATTCGCTTCTAGTGGTGGATTGTGGTGGGGGTGGGTGAAGGGGGGTGACGCCCCAACCTTGGGCCCCTAAGCAGTTGCCACCGCGTTGATGTTTACCAGAGAGAATACGTCGAGTGTTGTTCTTAATAATGAAAAACAAAATCTTGACATTTCAGGACCGCGTCGAAAGTCCGCCTCTGCTCACGTACAAACTCGCTTTCAGAATCATGGACGGATGGACGGACGCTCGTGGCCACGGGGCGGACAGGGTGGTGGCGCCGTGGTGTTGCTCGCGCCTGCGCACAAAGAAGCACCTGGGTTCGAGTTCTGACTCGGGCGCCTTTTCTGCGTGTGGCGTTTGCAAGTCCTCCTCCCCCCTGCACTGAATGGGGTTTCTTCCCGGTTCTCTCGATTTCTCCCATAGCCAATACAAAAGGGACCCTAATGTCACTGGCCAAACGTCTCAACGCTGAAAAATGACTCAGCAAATGACTCAATTGGGATCACACACAGACAGCAGCAACACCGCTCACTCCTCCGGCAAAACATGGCAGGACCCTCCCAAAACGGGTCTTGAGACTCAGCGCGGTCTTCCTGAGTAAACAATCTGAATGAATTACGCCCGTTACCAAGTGACTTGACAATGGGGTTGGTGGATTAGACAGAGATGGCCAGCCATCAAACAAAGACGTTCACCGCATCGCGCGCTCTCGGATGCGCCTCTGCGGCCGTCTGGAACGCTCTTCCTTCCGATATTCGGAAGCCACTGGAGCTACGCAACTTTTAAATCATCAAGATTGAAAACTAATTTCTTTAGAACTGCTTTTTATGTTTTGTTTGTTGTCCTTCCCCCGCACCTCCGATTAGCACGGTTGGCTACGTACATAAGTACGGTGCGAAAGAAGTTCAACAAACGTACACATACATACGTGATGTTTGTAACACACCGGCCACTCGCCCAGGAATTTGCTTCTGACCTATCTGCACAGTGTCAGTGTTCTCACCTCATACACGCGGGCTGATGCAGAAAATCCGAGTTTTTATTCCCACGTGTAAAAGTTTTCAACGAGCCTCTTACGACGAAGGAATTCAAATGATTAAATTACACGATTGGAATACGCACAGCAATCACCATCTCCCCCCCCACCCCATGTATCTCTCTCCCCATAGCAAAAACTTGGCAGGACGACTCCCGAAAAAAGATGAATGACACTCGGCGAGGCTTGCCTGGGTCATACAAGCCTAATTATAATCGTAATGATGACTATTAATGCCACGGTGTTGGTTCTTCCCCTAGCAGGCTGCCCCGTGCCGTCAGCCACTGTTTGCTCTGCATTTGTAAGGCACGTCAGGGAAAGAACATTCGGGCCAACGCTGGAAACAAATGTTTTGAGCCACTGTCAACGGTGCTCGATGAAGCGATTCTCTTTGCTTTTCGTGTTCTTAGTTTGTTGTCCTTCCTGCCAGCACCTCCGATGAGCGCGGTTGGCTACGTACGGCGGTGCGAAAGAAGTCCAGCGTACACACGTGCATACATTTGTACGCACTCACGTTCGGTGCCCTTTCACAGAGGGCATCTCCTCCTCCACCAGAGAGCCCCGGACCGACTTCCCACCAGAAGAGGTGATGCGTATGTGGAGCGTGCTTCTTGGTCGGCATGAATGAAAAACTGTTACTGCTGTTGTTGTTGTTGCTGCTGTTGTTGTTGTTGCAACTTTCCACCGCAGGTGCAATGGTATCGTGATTAGCTTTTCATCATCAATTAAAGCTTTACAAAACCTCTTCAATTCGTTCTAGTTCACCTTTTATTCTATCCTTCTGGTCCTGATTTCCCTTCCATGATGCAAACCAAACCTAAAAAACTACACAACTCTTTTTCACAAGCGACCTGGCCACAAATGATAGCTCAATGAACTGGCTTATCACGTGGAAATGTATAGTAGCCAAATACTCTAAAACGCACGTCGATTTTCATTGTGAAGGGAAAAACCGGTGGACCCGGAGAAAAATCCACATGACCACGGGGAGAGAGACACCGCAAACTCCAAATATACAGCAGGCGAAAGGGTCAGGATCGAACCCATGCCCTCCTGCATACCAGGCAAGGTAGTTAACATTTCGCCACCGTGGCGAGATGTTAACTACGGAGTAGAATCAAGTGAGGTATGTAGAGAAATGCGTGTCTATATTTAAATGGGCAGCTGCCACAGTGGTGCAATGGGGGAGGGGGCAGCTTTTAAAATCCCATCTCCCCCCCCTCTGCTTCTGTGCCACCCAGCGGCGTAGAGGGGGCCACCACAGTTAGGCGATCCGCAGGCCGTGTGTGGCAGAGGTCGCAACCGGGTACCCGATACCCGTACCCTACCCGATACGCGGCTACCCGTACCCAGCCGGGTACCCAGCCGGGTACCCAGCCGGGTACGGGTACGGGTAGCCGTTTGCGACCCTGGTGCGGCCGGGTACGGGTACGGGTACGGGTAAGCCGTGAGTCACTGGTGAGTAACCGTTTGTCACTCATTTCGGGTAGGGTATGGGTAGGGAACGGGTACCCGTACCCGGCCGGGTACGGGTACGGGTACCCATTTGCGACCCTGGTGCGGCCGGGTACGGGTAAGGAATCAAAACCCGTTTGCGACCTCTGGTGTGTGGCGAGGTTCTGCTCTATTCTCGTGCACGATGGCAGTGGCAACACGCTCAGGAGGCGGATGCCAATGTTGGGGTCTGCTGCTGGATACGGCGAGGGGGTCTTGAGGAGAGTTGGTGTCATTCTGCCCGTTCCTCCGTTTGAAGGAGACCAGACCACAGTGGGTTTACTACGGTGAGGTCTATAGTTTGGGTTGCATGGCCACCATCACGTGACCACGGCCTTTCTCTAACTTTCTATTAATTTAGGAGATGTGTGCATCGGCCGGCTAATGTTCCGACGCGGTCGATAGTGCACGAGTGTGGTGAGGTCAAATGTGGGTATGTCATCCGCTTCAGGTCAATGTGGAAGAGTAGACCAAAGGCCCTCGCGGCAGCAATGGCACGGTGAGCAAACATTTTTCATGGCTGCACCATTAATTATTTTATAAGACTCAATGCTGTATTTCGCTCCAACAACAGCAATGTTATCTTGTTTAGCAATGGGAACGTGGCCTCTGGAATGCCCGAGGAGAAATGAGAAGCATTCCAACCCATTTGCTGAGTTGTCTAGTGTAAACAAAGTACACACCCCACTACTCCTGAGTTGTTTTTAATCAAACTCCACTGGAATTTGCAAACGTTGTCTTGAACCCTTCAGTGCCCATTGTAACGAGAATTAATCCAGGATGGTTTGTTGCACGCACGCACGCAGGAATCTTGCCGCGCGGTTCGCGAGATCTCTTCCACGTGAGCACGAGAAGTGTGTGGGCCCACAGCCTCGGCCTCCACTGTTTATTTATCGAGCAGCCGTTGCACGAGACCGATCAATTAAAATAAAACTACAAATGTTTTCTCGGGTAAGGCCCACTGAACTATACGGCTATTTTTTCAGAAGTGATCTGGCCATAATTGATAGCTCAACGAAGTGGCTTATGACGTGGACATTTATAGCGGCCAAATGCTCTAAACGCATGTTTCTAAACGTGGAGGGAGAAACGAGAGGACCTGGAGGAAAATCCACGCGATCACGAGGGAGACCATGCGCTAAATATTTTTAGTGCGGCTCAATTTCTTGTGCGGACATTGACGATCGTCGGTACCATCGACCCGGACATCTGTAATGAAGTGCGGCTTGCCTGGACTCGAACCCAGGTCAGAGGCCGTTTTAGAAGTTTGGGGGGGGGGGGGTGGTCCCGAAATGCTAACCTTCATAAACATGGCCTGCAGATTTATAGTCAAAACATGAATAATAGTCAAAACATGAATAAGAAGAATATAGA